CACATTGGAAGAGAACATTTTTCAGCTTTAACAATCCAGGATACTCTACTTCAATTATTTCTTGTAGAACTCCATAAAAATCTATTTCACCCCTCACACAAACTCCATAGTTAGTTGTCGCCCGCTTTGCACCGTGACGGTATGTGTGAAAAACATAGCCCCGAGTGAAATACATGGAGGCTGTAGTTATTTTTGCCATCAGACCTAGTAGTAACTCATGGAACCATGTTGGAAATTCATCCGGATCATTCGGGTCCACCTAATAAGAAAAAAAATTGCTTTAATTCCTTGATTTGGATATATAGCAAATTAAAGTAGTCTTTTAATTAAAATTTTATACTTACTTGCCCTTTTAACCACTGGGCATAGTGTTGATCTTTACGATCATTAATTTCAGTTTCAAAAACCCCAGATATGCATTCTTTAACCTCATCAACAAATGTGCTGAGAAAACAACAAATAGTTATTAACACTGACAACTCATATAAAGATATTATTAATTAAAACGTATATTTCATACGATGACAACTCTTCACAATGTAACATGATATACGTATGTGCACTGTGATAATCTTTTTCATTGGACCACCAAACTTCTTTTAGTTTTCCACTAAGACGTCGGATCGACGAGAATATGTCAGGTACACCTTCAACGGCATATGTATGGCCAACTCCTCCATCATCATATCGACGAGTAGCTCTTTTGCGTGTTCGTACTTTCGGTGCGAAATAGTATGAAGTGAAGTGTGAAGTCTCTTGCGTCAAGCTTCCCGCCACAATTGAGCCTTCCACTTTAGCTAGGTTTTTGGCTTTACCCTTAAGATGCTTCATGAAACGCTCGAACGGATACATCCACCTGTACTAAACGGGTCCACCGAGCTCTGCTTCGTGTGGGAGATGAACAGGAAGATGTTCCATAACATCAAAAAATGATGGTGGGAAGATCTTTTCCAAATTGCACAATAAGATTGGAATATTCAATGCCAGTTGTGATATTACATCAACTGATAATGTTCGTGTACTAAGATTCCGAAAAAAAAGCATCAATGCCTCCAATAGCTTCATGGCCATTTTTGGGCAAGAGTTCAGCAAATGCAAATGGAAATAATCGTTGCATAAACACATGGCAGTCATGGCTTTTCATCCCAGCAAACTTTACCCCATTCTCAATAGATTTGGAAAGATTAGAGACATACCCATCAGGAAATTTAACGTCAGAAGAAACCCATCTGAACAATGCTGACTTTTGATCTGCACTCAACCGAAATATAGGAACTGGTGCTTTCCCGTTTCTCAGTAGATGCAACTCACTTCTGTTGCATAAATCAGGCAAGTCCAATCTTGATTTACCATTGTCTTTTGTTCTTCCCGCTACGTTCATAACTGTATGCATGATGTTATCAAAAAAGTTTTTTTCAATGTGCTTGACATCAAGATTGTGTCTGAGCAGATGATCTTTCCAATAAGGTAGTTGCCAAAAGATACTTTTCTTGTGCCAATTATGATGAACTCAATAAACTTCAGGCATATTTGCAGGAGTGTGCCAGTTTCCCCCACGCGTTACTGTTTCCTCTGCCCTCCAATGATCGATTTGCGCCTGTATATCAGCTCCTGTTAAATTTACGGGTGGAGGGACATGTACACTTTTGTTCTTCATAAATAACCTCTTGTTCCTCCGATATGGATGGTTATCCGGTAAAAACCTCCGGTGACAATCAAACCAACAAGTTTTTATACCATGTTTTAGCTGAAACGCATCAGTTCGATGAAGACAATAAAGACAAGATAGCCTCCCATGTGTAGTCCATCCTGATAGCATACTCTAAGCGGGGAAATCGCTTATTGTCCACATAAGCACAACCCGCATAGTAAAATTTTTCCTCGTAGAACAGTCATATGTGTGAACGCCAGTATACCATAACTGATTCAACTCATGTATGAGTGGCTGCAGAAATACATCGAGAGCTCGCTTCGGATGATTTGGACCTGGAACCAAAATACTTAGGAAAAGAAATTCCCTTTGCATGCACAAATCTGGAGGAAGGTTATAAGGAGTTAGAATTACTAGCCATAATGAATATTGTCTACCAGACATACCAAATGGACTAAAACCATCAGTGCACAGACCAAGATAGACATTCCGTTTGAACTTAGCAAAATCTGGGTATACCATATTGAAGTGTTTCCATGCCTTTGCATCTGATGGATGAACAACTTCTCCATTTACTTGTGTATGTTCCGCATGTCATCTCATTGATGCAGCTGTCCTTTCAGATTGATAAAGCCGTTTTAACCTATCAGTTATAGGGAGATACCACATACGTTGGTACGGTATCCTTTTACGCCCACCAGTTTGCGGCCTGTATCTTGGTTTTTGGCAAAATCGACATTCCTCCAGCTGATTATCATCTTTCCAAAAAATCATACAGTTGTCAACACATACATCTATCATCTGAGAAGGTTGACCAAGACTGAAAATCAACTTCTGTATTTCATAGTATGTTCCCGCTGCCAAGTTATCCTCCGGTAGATACTCTTTCAGAAGATCAGCCCAATCATCCATCCAAACCTCAGCCAGGTTATGATCTGTTTTAATTGACATCATCCTAGCTGCCAACGATAATTTAGACAAGCCTTCTCTACATCCTTCGTAGATTGGCTGATTAGCATTGTCTAACAAATCATAAAATCGTTTGGCATCTACATTAGGTTCCTCAACAGCATTACCAGTATGCATTTCATGAAATGCATCAGTCACCATTTCGTGCATCCTATCATGATCTACACTTTGATCATATTGATACTGATTAGGCTGATGACCATAATTCGATTCATCAAAATCAACATGACTTTGATAATTACTAGTACTACCAGCATTCCCATGAGTATTACTGCCATATCTTTCTCCATGTAGATACCAAACAAAATATTGCGGCTTAAACCCTCTATTTAATAAATGCGTCCACACGGTTTTGGTTAGTGTATACCTCGTATTCTTGCATATCAAACAAGGACAAAACATCTTCCCACTATCGTTCTCTCCATATTTGTAGCCTGAAACATAAATATTTCTAACCCGTTCTTGAACTCTTCTGTCAACGCCCCATCTGAATCTTTACGCATATACATCCAACTTCTTAGCTCGTATATAGACATCTTGAAAATAAACTCAAAATACTATCTCTTTTTATTGATTAGACAATAAAGGAGCTGGTCTCTTGTGTCACGTCTAGCCACGTGAATGGAGTAAATTAACCTTTTAATATTATTACTTTTTTTTCAAAGTAAATAACTCCTAATTCGGGTTTCCAGCAATGGACAACCCAATATATAAGGATTTACAACACTATACTAAAATTTAAGAGACCTACAATGGGTCTCCAAGATGATGATGCTCTTATGTTTGAATGATGATGTGTTGTGATTGAAAGAATGAATGAAGATCTATTTATAGGAAAATTTCGGGTTTTACAACGCTTTTACGACGACATTTTATGACGAATTTACATTCAGCAATAATATTACGACGATTTTACGACAATTATGCGATAAAATCTTTCATCTACAATTTTTAGGTAAACATGTTTTAAATGTTCTTCACCTAACTTCTTTGTCGACGTAAAATCGTCATAATATGTACATCGAAATGCAATCGTCGTATATTCGTCGTAATTTTGCATCTAATTTACGACGATTTTACATTTACTAGCAAATCTCTCGTTATCGATGTATATTCATCGTAATTCATCGTAAATTGTACGTCGAGATTACGACGATTTTTTTTACGATGGTTTTTAAATTTTACGTAACATCGTCGTAAAATCGTTGTAAGTTTGCGACGATTTTAAAACCGTCGTAATGGACCGTTGGAAAACGATTGTTTTCTTGTAGTGTAACAACCATTTTCACATATCCATAAACAGTTGTGGTCATTAACCTATCTTTTGAAAGCCCTCGTATGCATTCCTTAATCATATTGCTGGCATGCATACATGTTTTTTTCGAGCATTGATATTAGTAAGCTCGGTTGTCTCTTCAAATTTGAATCACTCATACATAATCTTGAAAACTTAAATTTCTGTAATGAGCATGTTCCATTTAGTCATTTTGTTTTATTTTGATTTGATTAGTATTCAGTTTTTTTATAGTATATCTTGTTTTTGAATTATATAGTTCAAGATTAAATTGAACTTAAATGTACCTTGATACATCATACAATGTCAAATATAGTGTTTTGTGTTGTTAACCCAATCAAAAGGAATTATTGTTTAGTTAATAGGTTCTACGTACAGACTAAAATTATCATAACATACATCATCAGGTAAGTTAAATCTTTTTCTCTATCTCTTCATCTTTTTCTACACCCCTTTCCCTTTCTCTCGTCAATACAACATGTTGAACCATATACAACATATTAGACCAGTTTAAATTTTTTATCTTCTTAGGTTTCTCTTTTTTCTAGCCACTCTCAATGTCATCTCTCTAACTTGAGCTATGTATAATTTTTTTGGAGGGATTTCACCCATTTTCTGTTTCGAAGATTAGATTGAACATATTAACATTTTGTAATACCATAATTTGCTTTATAATCATATGGTGGTTTGTGTAAATGCAGCTTCAGGAGAGCCTATGTTGCTATTGGCTGCTTTGGTGCACTGCACCACAAGAGAGGCGATTAAAGTAGCACGCAAACAGCTAAGAATGTGGAAAGGTGAGGTTGGTTTGGATTCAATGTTTCCGTTGCCAGTTCCGGCTACAATGCCCGTTGTGAAGGAGCTATGTGGCCTAGATATAAAAGCTATTTGGAGTGGAAATTAAGAGTTACTTCAAGATCATGATCAGTTTCTACAGTGAAATATGTACTTGTTTATTAACATTTTTAAACTAAGAAAAGACATCCTTTTTATGTTTCCCCCTTTTTTGTAAGCAACCAATCCAATTGATTAAAGAAAACAAAAATCAATTTTATAACTGAAATCATGCTTGATAACATATACAAAACTATCTTTAAAAGTTAAACTAAAGAACAGATATAACAAAGGAAAATCTGAGCAATTTACTTGAGAGAAGGAAATGAGGAGTGAACAAAACTACTTGCATAAGAGAAGAGAACAAAACAAGAAGAAGCTGACATCAATGCCCAAATCAAATACAAGAGATCTAGTGAAGCTAACCTTTGATCCCAATAAACACCATCAAGCATAATAATCATCTCTGACAATATCAATTGATACTACCAGCGACCATAGTTCTCTGGAAACTCGCTACAGTGGTGAACCGGACCATACCTTGAAGGTGCATGTGCATATCTGTGATTCTGATGATGATGGGAAGAAGAAGGATAATGAGGTTGCCACCTTGAATGCGGATGATCTGAGAGATGCCCACTAGACTCATATGATGAATTTCTATGCTTTCTACCATATGGTGTGGTTGATTGAGAACCAGGATAATGACCACCATAACTAAATATTGGTGATCTATGGTTATGAGTATGACCCATATATGTTGTTGGTAACCTATGATGGTTATGACCCGATGGTGTAATAGGAGACCTTGGCCTCCTGATATTTCCTCTTTGGATAAAATGGTCTTCCAGATCATCTATCATCCAACCGCCTCTCAGTTTTGGTTTTTGTGGTGTAGTTTGCGGATGTTCTCCATGTTCTCCTTTATGTGTTTTTTTCTTCATCTTCCCATTGGATTCACGGGGAGGAGAATAGTGTTCCGAGGTTTCTTTATTCTTCTTCTTCTTTGTCTCCCTGTTGGATTCATGGGGAGTAGAATTGTGTTCCAAGTTTTCTTTATTTTTTTTCTTCTTCTTCGTCTTTCCGTTGGATTCATGGGGAGTAGAAATGTGTTCAAAGTTTTCTTTATTCTTTGTTTTCCTGTTGGATTCATGGGGAGTAGGAGTGTGTTCCGAGTTTTGTTTATTTCTATTGTTAGATTTATGTGATGGAGTAGATAGCTCACGATTCCTCTTGGAGACCTACATGTAGAAAAAAAAGAAACTCTAAGTCATAACATAAGAGAAAAAAAGAAAGAATTGAAAAGCTCAAAGCACCAAATGGAGAGAGAAAGATCTTACCTGAGAGGAATTCGGACATTCACGAGCAAAATGTCCTGCTCCATTTCATCGGTAGCATAAACTAGGTGAGTCTCTGCCATGTGAAGTCCTAATGCTCGACGAATTCGGGCATTCACGTGAGAAATGCCCTTCTTCCCCACACCTAAAGCATGAACTAACAGAATTTTCTTCGGTGCTTTCCTCATAGTACCTACCACAAGCCTAAAGAGAAAATCTATTTTAGTCAGATGACGAATTCTGCATCACTATTTTAACTAAAATGAGAATATATCAATTTTGTAATCGACGGTGTGGATGATCCAAAAGCAAAATCGTAGCAGCTTACCAGTCCAATGTGACCCAACTGACCACATCTATAGCAAGACACAACCCATAACGGTGAGTTACCCGGTTCAACACAGCATAGATGGCCAACTCTTTTACAGACATGGCATTGTATATCCTGGTCAAAGTAAATATGAAAATATAGCATTATCATCCGTCTGATCTACTACATAATCCAACTAACTATACTAAGCAAGAACACTGAGTTTCATGAAAACGAAGTTACCTTTAAATCATCATGTGAGTACTCATACTTGCACAAAATTATGTCATGTCTAGAGTCTCCACATCTAAAACATATAGATGTTTTAGACCCATTTTTGTACTTATCCGGACAATTTTTTACCCGGTGGCCACTTTTTTTGCAAATATAACAATCGTATCCCTATAGAACAAGAAAAAAAATCACTCAGCAATCCTATGCAATAATAACTTCACTAGTCGTCCTAAATATGCCATGCGAACCACCTAACTACACTCTAAGCTTAAATTTTGCACCTTTGAACACTGCTTTGCACAAGATCAAAGTACCTCGCTCCACGCTGAATAACACAAGATCCCAACAAGATCCCAACAATGTTCATCACAGATTAAACGGCTGTCTATGCGTTTAATCAGGCCCAGTTACAGGCTCTACAGGAGCGAATCGCAGACAAATTCGATATGAGCCCACAACTTGGATAACTAATTTAAATTTCTAGAGTTAATGAAGACTCTTATTTATAGTGCAGGTTCCCCTTCTCAATTACCCAAGCTGTCGATGTGGGACAAAGGGACCAGGTAATTTTACTTTAAAGCTTTTACTAGAATCATAATTGAAAAAAAAGTGTTATAATTCAGAATAAAATTTAGATTATACTAGAATAGTAGACTTCTTGTATCTCACATAAAATATTAAAAATTAAAGAGCAAGGTTATTTGTGATTACGTCAGTCCTACAATATTTATACCAGTTCTGCTTGGTGTCTAAAAATAATAATAAAAATTATTGACAAAAACCAAAGTTCGTCATGCTCTTATATTAGAGAAATCAACAAAAAAAAAAAACAATCTAAAGAAAGGTAACATTTTCAAAGTGTTCTGATGAGATAGAAACAGGACAAGAACCATTGTTTCCGATTCCATAATGATGCCTGAACTCTTCGTCATCTACGACCCTTCTGATACATTGGCTTGTTAAATCAAAATAGAAAATGTAGAAGCTCTCAAGGTCGCGTGGCATCAATCTTGGAGCCAAAATGATCTCGCCGGATTTGTTGACGCCTATGTAAGAATGTGAATTTATCTCAATACGATTGGACCAAGAAAGCGGAAACCGAAGTGTTTTCTTTGACCATTCATGTTTCTCGACATTCTCTAGTATCCATAACATAAACCCATAGGAAGCACCAAAAGAGAATTGTATGAATAATGGCTAACTTCCCTCTGTAGTTGATCAAGTTTGTACCAACCTCCCAGCTTTTGATGTATAAAGGTGGATTCATCAAACTAATCTTCTCAAACCTAACATCAAAGCAAACTATAACTCTATCCGTGTTTGGTCTTGTAGCACCGTAATACACAATACCGTTGATGCATATTCCTTTTGTGTAAGGAACATAAGGTCCTGTATTGTCTTTGATTTTCCGCCATAAAAGGGTTTTAATATTATCACCTCCTCCTAACGTTAAAACCTTGTGCACGACATCACCATCACCACACCGAGAAGCCATCATGAACATTGCTTTGTATTGATCATCAATCGGATCATATCCCAAGAGTTTAAAGGTTAACTTCTTGTTCACGTCATTTCCACTTTCGGGTAAAGTCACAATTTGTCTCGTGGTGGGATTGCATATCAAGAACCGACCTTGATATGAGCAACATAGAAAGCCATGTGCTAAAGTACCTGAACCTGATCGTGTGTAGTAATAATCAACCGTGGAAGGTATTGTCATGGCGAGATTGGCTACTAAAGAAGAAGAAGATTTGTTCTCTCCTTCCTCTGAAGCCGTGAAGAAGAACAAACGCATATCGGCTTTTTTAGTGGTGAATTCACAGTTATTGAAAGCGATTAGGAGGCGTGAACCGCGATTCAAGGACCTAGAGTTGAATGAGTCGCTGAATCTTTGATTTTGGATTATCGAAAACCAAGATTTGGATAAGTATTGGGAGTTCATAAGAGATGTACCTGGCAATCTACTGAGAATATCGATCTCTAGATCATCAGGGATGTGATCAAAAGGGTTCATGGCGACGATAGGGTTTGCTTTGTAATTTGTTAAAGTGTACATGTATGCTTCAAGTTCAAGTTATTTAACTCTTTATATATATACACAAAGGCAAGATGAGTACTGGAATGATTAGGAAAGTCAAATAAAACCGTTTCCATAACGAAAAATAAAACCGACACAAGTCGGTGCTACCGGATAAAGTCAAAGTAATTTGTTTTTAGTTTTTTTTATAAGTTAAATTTCAAAAGAAATAAAAAAAAACTATTTTACAATGAGTGCTTCATAATTTGAGCTATTGGGAATTTAAGTATGTTTTAATTAATAGAAAAACAAAAAAATAAGACTTTCCTCATATCTGTTCTTCATTGTCTTCTTGTCCATGAACTTGACTAGTCTCATCGCTGTGAAATAAGAGAGGAATGTACGTAGTTCTGCGTAGTATCAGAGATGAACGTAAGAATTGCTACAATCGGCTGAATATATACTTATATAGTGTTCTTTATTGCTCCAATCAGATGAACGTAATAATTTCTAATTGGTTTACCTTTTACGAAAAATTAGAAAAATCCATATTGTTCACACAAAAGAACAAGCATACTTGGAAGTTTAGAGCGCTTTGGCATTCTTCTTCATAAGCTCATCTTTAAGACTCGATACTGTCTGCTCCAATGAAAAAATTTGAGCAGCAGACTTGGTTTGCTCCTTGTTCAGTTCAAGTTTGAGATTCTTGATGTGTTCTTCGAGTTCTTGGACTCGAGAACCATCATCATCAGTTGCTTTCTTACTCTCCAAGAAAGCCTCATCAAGCCTTATCTTCAACCAGTCTAGCTTGAAGCCCGCTTCTGTTAGCTCGATCAGCTCGTTCTGAGCGTTGATCTGTTCAGTGTCTCGATTAGACCGAGGAGGATATTCATGTATATAGTCTTCACCCATTGGCTTTTAGTCTGAAATTCACTGCAATGTCAGGGTGCTCCACGAAAATCCAACTCACTGAAGCCGCCTCGGACCAGAGATAAGATGTAATGATGTTAATCAGAGATCCAATCCTAGAAGCATCCTTGTAACCATACCTGAGAATAAAGAACTTGGAAACCAAACTTGGAAACCATTGACATCTAACATCTCATTCCCAGTTACATCTCCTTCATCAACAACTTCAGCTACTTTGACTTGGACTTTTAAGATGAGTTTATTCTTCTCCAAAAACCCTTTTTCTTGAAGCTTTTTAAGAGGCAAAGCATTTGGCCAACCCCATGATGAGGTCTGAGCGCAGAACAATTGGCACGAAAATTCTGTAATAAGACGAAACCAGAAACATTAAAGTCAATGATCTGATACATACATGGAAGATCGATAAGTAAACTACCATCTTTTCTGTAGAGCTCTTTGCCAGATTGATTCAACAGAAGGATGGAAAAACTAGCTCGTCTTTTCCATCCAAATCGCAAGGATTCAGGATTCGCAACGCAGAGGTAAAGAGACAAGTGATCATCAATACGATCTCCTTTGGGATGAACCCTAACATACCTGAAAAAAAAATACAGAGTAATTTAAAAAGGTTTAATTGTACAGCTGATAAGATGAGCTTAAAAGAAGGTGAGTTAAAAATCATCTTCCTTTACCATTCGCGGCCACCGCTTAAAAAATTTGGTGATGATATTACAGAATCCTTGTCGGAGAAGTTATCTATCTCAAACGTGAAACTCGTCGGCTTATGATCCTCCATATCTCTAAGAAACTTTTCCTAGGTTTTTTTTTTATTTGGAGCAAAAGATGACTTTCACAGAAGCCGATATACTTTATTTATAAAGGATTAAATTCCTTCTACTAAGGTAACAAGAGTTACAAAGTGAGTAAGATTTAGGTTTAGGGTTTTTTTTTTACTTTGGTTTAGGGGTTGACTCTGGTTTATTATTATTAATTCTCCAATTGCATACTGGTTTAGGTGGGAATGAACCTGGATTCCCAGTGGGCTTGCGAAATGCTTAGAGTACTAAGTGATGTAAGCTAGCCCAGTCGAAAATTAAGTATCATTGTGTCAAAAATTCTGTATTATCCTCTGAAACATCTATAAAATTCTAATTGGTGTGAGAAAGAATAATGAAATTCCTCTTCATTCCTTAAGAATATACTATTTTTATGGAATTTACTTTTACACATTTCTATTCATTCCTAAAATAATATCCTATTTATGAAAAATATTTTTTACATACTATTTCTTGTCATTCCTTTATTTTTAATAAATTATAGAACACAAATATTCTTCACCAAATTTGATAAAAAACAATAAAAAAAAAACACTCTCATTATTTAACTCCTCTTTATTTTATTTTCTATTGATTCCTAATGATCACCAAATTGGAGCCTAAATATGTTCGATTTCATTCTTTGTTCTGAGCAGGTCAAATTAACCGAACTAAAAACTGAAACATCGAAAAATAATCATATTGGAAATTCTCTGGAGGAAAAGATGAAATTATTACATTTACAAATGCGATAAGATACAGATACAAAAAAAAAAAAACGATACATAAATGACAAATAATCCATATACAACAACAACTAAGAATGTCAAATATTTATTACAAAACTAAAAGAGAGACAAGAAAATAGCCCTAAGATCTTGAACAGATCATCTAAAAGTTCTATATAAGAACATCATCAAATATTTATTGTTCTCGAATCTTGAACAATATCTTGGTGTGGTGGTTTGTGTCCACATCGATTTCTAATTTCAGTTTCTATATGGACTACATCTTCTGGAGGTCAAGGTTAGCTGAGTGTACCTGATTGCATCACAGGGAAGAAGGACCAATCGTTGCTGTTCTTGGTCGAAGCTCTATGTTCCTCAATGGTCAGATGTTTCTCATCTGTGCCGAAATTGAATTCCTTGTTCGATCCAAGAGATGAATCTTGCGTTTCTTCTTGATCACACGATGCAGCTGCTTCAGGGAACGTAGTTCTTAGCTTCTGATCCACGCATCTAATGACATGATCCGCATCAAGATCGAACGAAACCGGTTTATGCGGTCTCACAATCTTCTGCTCTTCCACTTTAGGAGTTGTTGTAACACTCTCGGAGCAATGAAGTTTATCAGGGCTCAACAGTTTTGGAGGGTCAGAGATTGGGAACCGCTCGGGAAAAGGAGAAGTTGGACCAGAACCGGATACAACCGAGCTCGGAGAAATAAGCTGACCAAGTGGACTACCAGGAGGAAGTTGGTAAAACTGAAACTCATAGTTAGAGATTGGAGACCTATGACCATAGTTATTGTTGTGAAAGTTTGAGTTAAAGAGCTGAGCGAAAGGAACTTCTGGTGAAGAAGGTGTTGTGGTGGTAAAGTAGATGGATTCATCAAGAGGAGGTGTGATTGGAGCTGAAGATGGTTCAGTGGTGTAAGTAGAGAAAACCGGAGGAGAAACCAATTGAGTTTCATGAGCGTAAGGTCCAATGGCGAATATCCAAGGACGGTTGTTGTTGTTGTTAGGCAAAGGACTAAAAGAGAGGATTCCTACAGGTGATTGTGTTGCAGAAGGAGGCTCTGATTGGAAAAATGAAGCTGGAGATGAAGGAGGAGCTATAAAAGGAAGCGCCGTGATAACCGAACGATAACCGGAAGGATTTGATGTCGAATCGGCGGTAGAGATTTGTACCGGTTCAGGAGCAAGAGCAGCTTTTCCTATTCGTTTTCTCTGTCTTGAAGGTCTGAAACATATGAAGAGACTCCACCGATTCCACCATTTTCGCTTCTTCTGTTTTCAAAAAAAAAAAAAAAATTGAAAAGTATGAAATCAGATTTTGAGAAATTGAAATCACAGAAACTTAATAAGCAGAACAACTGTTAAGCAAAATCTTCAGGAAATCTCTGAATCTGTTGTGAATGATCGGACGAGAAACTCTGTTTGATTCCATAGAAAACGCCATTAACGGAGAAATCAGAATCAATAGAGAAACAAGGCTATAGTAATCGGAGATCGATGGAATTCGCCTAGAAACTGTTCGATCTAATGCTTACGAGAAAAACGATAACAGATCATGAAATCATCATACAGTTTCCGATCATTAAAATCTGGAGAAACTAGCTAATTCCGATGGAAACTGAAAAACGGAGAGAGACTCACCCGAATTGGAGAAGCTTGACGAACACGATCATCAGAGGAAGCAATAGCAGTAGCAGCTGCGTTTATAGTCTCCATAACGTTGTTTCCACTCGCGCCGCCTCTCATCTCTATCTCTCTTTCTTCTCCTCTGATTTTCTCACTGATAATTTTCCCGAGAAAACAAAACAGAGCATTCGAATTTTCTCAAATTCACACAACTTCAAAAAATCAATATCTCCTGAGAGGAAAATAAAAACAATATATAAAGAACGACACGCAACCCGAAATTTCTGGGAATATTGCTTCTCTCCCAAATATATATATATACATAGTATGTATATACATATATATGTGTGTGCTCGTGTGTGTGTCGAAGAGGTTTGAGGTCAAAACACGGCAATTCACTATTTGTTTGTAAATTGATACAATCTTAGAGGATATTTATGTCCATTAATTTGCGAAGAATTTTGACTACATTTCTTTCCTTTTTTGTTCTCAATTAAATTCGATATTATATTATTAAAGAACAAATTAAATTTATCTATTTTTTTCATTATCTAATTTTAAGATTTTTATTTTAATTTCGAATATTTTGCTATTTATTTTGTCGATTGTTTCACTATTATACATGAACACCAGCTCAAATGAGATTAGAAAATGGAGATATTTTTATGACGAGGAAGATTAAGATATTTTAATTGTTTTTTTCCTTCAAAGAGAAAGGTGTCACAGAGGCGCACGTGTGGGAGAATCGAATCTATCTCTTTTGGTTTTGGGTTTCTCGTGTGCACATTAAGTGTGGGGCTAAACTAAGTAAGAAATTAATTAAAAACCGATAGATTTTGAATTAAAAAAAAGGGGATATGACACACAACCCAATTTTAACTTGTTTTGCACGGTGGCTTGACTTAATATATTTGAGTCTTATTTACTTACTTTTCTACCTCCCACAATAATGAATCGAATTTCATTAAAAAAAAAAAAAAATCTTTCTTCAGTTTTGGTGGAAATTTATGGAAACAATAATTATAAATCACTTTTTGGCTCCTAATAATTTAATCATTTAATAATACAAACTGGTAGCTTACGTTGTAACTTTGTTAAAGAAAAGAATCAATGTGGTAAATGGCCAATTGACTGATTCTTTGTTCCAAAAAGGGGACAGAAATTAATGAAGCATTTTCACAAAAACGGAAGACAGTCACAGTTATTGTGATTTAAGTGCAAAAAATGTTTAGCTGTCACCGATTAAAATCAATAATCTAATAAATACGCAGATCTTTCCAGGATTCGCTTGGAGAAAATTTAGACAAAATAATATTTAATTCACAAAAAATTCACTAAATTTATGTAATTTTATTCATTATTTTATTTCATATTCGACTATTGGTTTTGGTTAAAATTTAAAATTATTATTAATCTTAAAAACAAACATTTTTATTTACTAGTTTGTTTTTTAAATTAATATATCAAAAAACTGTATTGGTTAAACAAGAGAAAAAAAGATTAACCAATATAATTGGAATTAAAGTGAAAATGATGAAAAAACATATCTTCTGGATTTAAAAAAGTTAATGTATAATATTTTATCATCATGTCAATACTATGTTTAAAAATAGCTTTTGATTAATTTGTTAAAATTTTAGTTGGTTTCAGTATATTAACTTATAAGTGTTTGACCAAATAATATGTTTTTGAAATATGACATACTGTATATAGATTTAAAACAAAACTGTTAAAACTTCACAATTTACATAAAGTTCTTAACTAACACATAATATTTTTAATATATTATTAAAATACTAATATATAAAATTTATATTTTAATAAATAAAACTAATTATTTATAATTTTCATCAACAAAATATCTACGCGTAGCGTGAACGCAAAATCTAGTTATAAACAAAATTGTATAAAAGAAAATTATAAACAAAGAAAAGAATACAAGTTATTTAGTTCGTAGTTATATCAGGAATTTGAAATTGAATTTTGGGAATTAGATTTAAGTCGTTATCCGGAATGAAATCAAAAGAATATCCTCGTTAAAGTTAAAAACACATTATTGTCCGTTTTTTCTTCTTTAAAATTAAAACTTGGATTTATTATGACCTGTCGGAAGTTCAATGAGTTAGGTCATCAACCCCACTTCGGACTCGTGCTTTGACACGTGTCACCAACCCACCTTGCACTCAAAGATTTCTTAGTATTTATCCCAACAAATAGAAAAGACATTTTTGTTTGATAAAAAAAAAGACATTTAAAAAAAAAAATAATCATGAAATTGAGATACTGTTACTTAAAATTTTACACTGCATAAACATTGTATTTGCTTGCAATGAGATATGAACGTGACACCGGATTTCACGTGCATCAAATTCAAAGCTGGATTAAAAAGGACAAGAGGTTTACGTGAGATTTCTTCCAAAGTAAAAAAGAGAAGCCATACTTACCAAAAAAAGGTTAGAATAATAAAAGTCAGTTTATATAATCTTCTTCAAGATTCGAACTTATCATAAAAAAACAATTAGTACTACTACCAACTTTTTAAACCCTGAATTATGAGTTTAAATTGCATTTTGGGATAATACAAATGTAATGTTGTAAATGTGGTTAAAGAGAAAGGATCACTTGCCTGTGAATCGTGATGATTGAAAAGCTTCTGTTGTTATAATTGTAGCTTGGAGAATGAATAAGCCAAGTGAACATAAGTCTCTATAACCACATTTACAACATTATATTATATTTATCGTTTTTTATTACCTAACCTAATCAAAGAACCAGAGGAGATTATGTCATTTGAATCCAACAGAGTTTCTTGGGAAGAAGATGTAGAGAAACCAAAATGTGAAACACAAAAGAGTAGTTTTAAAGACTGATTCACAACATATATACATACAAAGGACATTGTTTCGGTTACGTTCGCGTGGGTTTTGGCTTAATCCTCAGAATAAATCATCCTAATCTGCAACTATTTGCTCTAATCTATATGCTTGCAACGAGATAAATTGATATGAACGAGAAGAAAGACGTACCAGATTCAGCAGAAGCTGCGACCAAAGGAAGAAACAGTCTTCAATAAGAGACCGGATCTCGCAAGAAACATCAGACCAAAATCTCAATACGAACAAAACAAATGATTAAAAAGCATATCCAACAAGTTTTTAGTCTAGCGTTCAGACAAATAACCCATTTCAGGAGTACTACATAAATAAACGTGATGAAAATAAATTAACAAGTGTAAAGATTATGTGGAACATCAGAATTGAAATAGATCCAGGCATTGAAGCTCGGCTGCTAAAGACAGAAATGTGAATGATCTTCTATTCTTTCATTCATCCTCCAATTGATGATCCTGCAAAGCAAACACAACAGACAAATCAGAGGTTAATCTGTATCTTCAAATTGACATTGACATTCAGTAGAAAACTACCGAAGAAACTACAGCCATGCCTCCACAAGTATTTATATATTCTTCTCCAAAGACCAAAAGGAAACTAAAATAAACTGGACAACAAAACAGAGTATGAGGACATACCACACTCTTTTGCAGATCCTCCAACATTGCCAATGCCTCTCGTAGATTCTTCTCACTACATAAACCGGCTAGCATGCCGTTGAAAGTGATGGTATCAGGACACACACCACTAGAAATCATCTCCTGGAAAATGTCTAAGGCACCATTAAAATCCCCCCCTTGACAAAACCCGTGAATCAAAGTGCTGAATGTGATTGCATTAGCAACAATTCCTCTTCGATACATCTCCCAGTAAAGAACTCTTCTTGCCTTGCAGAATCCGTCTATGAGTGTTGTAAAAGTCACTGTGTTTGGAGAGCAGCCCTTGCTAGCCATTGAATCAAACATCTGTTTTGCCTTTTTTAGGCGGTTCTGCTTGCAGAATCCATTGATCATTGAAGAATAGGTGATAGTATCGGGGACTATACCTCTACAGAGCATCTTCTTGTATAATTCTTCAGCCTCAGAGAACTTCTTTTCTTTGACAAATGCGCTGATCAGTATATTGTAAGTTTGAACGCCAGGTTCCACACCAAAGGTGTTACTAGCATCAAGATCCATCTTACTCTTCTGCATTTCCTCGAATATTTCCAGTGCCTTTTCTAGTTTCCCATTATTGCAGAGACCGTCTAGCAAAATGCTAAGCGCTACGATATCAGGACGCACACCAGTGGAAATCATCTCCTGGAAAATGTCTAGGGCACCATTAAGATCACCCACTTGAAAGAACCCGTGAATTAGAGTGTTGTAAGTAACTGTATCTGCAACAATTCCTCTTTGATACATCTCATGGAGAAGATCCATTCCATCATCAACTCTTCTTGCCTTGCAGAATCCGTCTATGAGTGTAGTAAAATTCACTGCGTTTGGAGAGCAGCCCTTGCTATCCATCGAATCAAACATCTGTTTTGCCTCATCTCGACGGTTCTGCTTGCAAAATCCATCCATCATTGAGTTATAGGTGACAGTATTAGGGACTATACATCTGCGGATCATCTCCTCGTATAAATCTTCAGCCTCAGAGAACTTCCCTTCTTTGACAAATGCATTGATCAATGCACTGAAGGTCACAACATCAGGGTCGATTTTCCTTTCAATCATTTCACGCAACAATCGTTCGGCATCAATCCATTTACCACAATTGCAAAAAGCATCTATCATACAACTGTAGGTAACTATATTGGGATAAATTTCTTTCTCGCGCATTTCGTTGAAAAGATTTTCAGCATCAATGTGACGTCCATCTTTGCAAAGACGATCAATGATGGCACTATAGATGAAAACATGGGGTTTGATGCGGCTTTTCTCCATCTTCCTAAGCAGATTCAATGCTGAGACAGTGTCGCCCATCTTACACAACCCGTTCACAATTGTTCCATAAGTCACAACGTCAGGTTGATGACCATGTTCTACCATCCTATCAACCAGAGCTACTGCTTCGAGCATTCGACCACCGCGGCAAAGACCATTCACCACTGTGTTGAACGTTATGACATCGAGTGCATATCCTGTTTCAAGCATTAGATCAAATAACGCTAAGGCTTCAGAGATCCTATCTTCGAGACATAACCCGTGGAGCAGCGTGTTAAACGTAACGACATCAGGCTGGAAACCAAGTTTGGTGAGTTTTCCAAACGTAGACAAAGCAAAGGAAAGCTTGGAGTAGCTGCAGAAACATTTTATCAGAAGTTGAAGCTGTAGATGTCAAATGGAATCCGCCGCATTTCCATCTTCCGATAGAGAGAAATCACAACGTCGGGTCGATTCATCTTCAGGAGGACACCCATTACTTTGTTGAAATCAATTGCAGAAGGGAAGGGACGAGATCGAACCATTTCATCGCATCATCTAAGCTTTCGATATAATGAAACCCACTTCCCAATTTCAAACTCTCTCCTCCAAAAGTTACTTCGCCATCTCTGCAATGGACTAACAAATAGGAAGACGCTTTCTACTTGTACCTTTCTCGGCGACGCGACGTTGATGAATCCATCTCGTGCTGATCAATCTAGCGGCAGAAGATTCCGATCTCCATCTCCAAACCCTAGCCAACATTTTTATGTCGCTTGATTTCGAGCTCGAGTCGAAAAGAATCAAAGTGAGAGAGTGAGAGAGGCTCGAGCCGAAAAGAATCTGAGAACAGCAACCGGTTCCATTGAATTAGTATACCGACTGGTTTAATTAGTATACTGACCGGTCAATAGTTCACACAATTTGTGCTATTTTTCAAAACAACTTATCTTTATAGTCACACAATTACCATTAACTGTTTTTTTTTTGGAAAAAAACATTAAGTTCATGATCCATTTAAAGTTCAAGCTAGCGTTATATGTAATAAACTCATAAGCAGAAGCGAGACAATCTATAATAATTTAGAGCTATTTTTCAGTAACAATATTGTAACGAGTAGAATTGACTTTAAAAAGGATTCTTAATGTCTATCTCAAGCAGCCAAACTCTTAGAGGCAATCTCAAAGACATTTTTTTTGTTAAAAGCAATCTCAAAGATATTCTTAGACAATCCATCTGCTGACATTATCATCTCCAATTATGCTTCCAAACCAAACGCAAACACTTAATCTAAACATCTTCTCAGATTATATAACCAATAAAAATGCTAATGGGTTTTGCATTCGCCTTGGCCAGAGCTTGTCGGGTTTCTTCTGCTGCACTGCATGTGTTATAAGTTTTAACCGAGTCAAACCGAGCTAAAATCAAATAATTTGGAGTCCAAACCAAACATAGTTAAAGTCAGTTTTCATGTTTTCCTTAACGTCTTTGCATCCTTAAACAAGGGTTTTGAAAAAAATATTGATGAGCACTACAAGAGGGAAGTAAATCTACTTCTAAATCAAAATCCTCATTGATCAAAATGATTCTCCACGTCTTTCCATAAATACATTAAGAGTTAATGCATGAAACTATCCTCCTAAGCATGGTTTATTGCCAGTGTATCCTAATGACGGAAGACTTCTATGGCGGATTCTTTTAGGACATATTGATGAACTAGACTTTAAAGGACCATGATTTTTTTTGGCATGATGTTGGTTCTTTGAAAATTTGGTATACTTAATGTTAAAACGGTTAATTATTGGAATATTTTGCATCAATTAGGTCGACAACAATTTTTTTTAAAAAGTACGACAATACAAGTACTAGAAGAGAGTACAAAAATGAAGCAAGTGTTACAAGTCTAACAAACCGATTATTACAAGAGAGTAGAAAATTTAGGCTTTACATGTGATGCGATTATGTCCACTTTTACCACAAGTAGAGCATTTAGGCATCTGTCTTGGACATATGTTCGCTGTCGCGATCTCGAATGCACTCTTAATGCGTGTCTTCTTTGGTCTGCCTAGAGGATTGCGAACAAAAACAGTATGAAAAATTTTGTTAGCCATTTCTTCTGGCACTGGTAGTGCTATATCTCTTGGCATTACACTTCCTGCGTAAGCATGTTGCAAGTAATTTGTTTGATAGTAGGGATAGTATAGGGAGATTCGTGAAGTTTTTCTTGCTTCCTCAGCGGCTATGGCATGTACACAAGGGATTTTATCTAGATCAAACCAACGGCAGGTACATGTTTTTTCTTTCAAATTGACAACATGGGCAGAAGTTGTGCCAATAACCTATGACTGATCTGCATCAATAACTTGCACAGCCAAAAGTTTGGCATCTTCAACCCTGATCTGCTTATAAAACATGTGAATAAGTCTACTACAAATGCTACTTCAAATAATATGTTCACTATAAAATATAAATAAGTATACTACAAGTGGTTATTCAAATAACATGTCTACCATAAAATATAAATTTTCAAGTATCACACTTCGACGGCTGCAACCCTAATCGAAGAAGATGACACAATCGGTTTTTTTGTAATATCTACGAACAAATTTGGGCAAAAATGTCTTTTCAAATTTTTAAAAAGTCAAATGTCTACTATAAACCAGCTTCATAAGTCTACCATCACCCAAATAATTATAAGTCTATTAAACTGAAGATTATTTTTCAAAGTGCAGGTTAATTGAGTAAGAACAAAATACAAACATAAGTCTACCAGTATTGTAAATTACAAATATTAAATCTACCAAAATTTAATAAACCTACCATACTTATAATTAAATCTACCACATTATTTTCTAAAATACAACTGTTTTAAGTCTACTATATATACGAATAAGTCTACTAACTCCTGATAAAGCTACTATTAATAGCAATAAGTCTACCAAGCAAAATAAGTCTACTGTACATCAAACTAAATAAATCTGTCACCGTTACAAATAAATCTGTCGCCATTACTATTTAAATCTATCAAAAAAGTCAAACACTTACGATAAGTCAACGATATTTTCATAAGTCTATTATTAAATATAATAAATCTACCAACAATAAATATGTCTACCAACACAAAATAAGTCTACTATGCTATAAAAATATATCTACCAAAACAAGTCTACTAAGGTTCAACAAATCTACCAACTCTCAAATAAATCTACCATCAAAAAATTGCGTTGACCAAATTCAAACAAATCTACTATAAATAGTGGTAAACTTATGCATAATGTCGCGATACTTTTTGCTTACATGACATATAAAAAATAATAACATTTTCGTAATAATGTTTTTTTCAACAAAACCTTAAAGGGCAGGATCGGTATACAAGATTAATTTAGCATAAACAATCAAAGTGTGTCAAACTATTAATAAACATTGGTTTGCGGGATACTTGAGTAATCCACCAATACATTAATCCAAAAGAGAATCACCCAAAAATCATTAAAAACTACCACCATTGCTTTTACACTTAGCCCCAAATCTCTTAGACCGATCCAACCGCTACCTAGAGAACATTTGGAAAAAACTAAACTTACACTAACGAACACTACTACAACTAAAACTACAACAACAGAGCCAGAAATGAAGAAACCGAGAGGGAAAAGCCATACTTTTTCATCCTCTTCTGTTTCCTACCGGATTTTACTCAATCAACCTCGATTACTTTTCGAGGTCTTCCAAGTTTCGGTTTTGTCGGTGCTTTCTGCTTACTTTGCTTCACATTCTTTCTCTTTTTTGTTCCATTCATCAGCCAGTCATCGTCTCCATCATCCTCGTCTTCACTACTATCAGAATCTATGTATGAATTATCATCATCATCATCATCATCATCTTCCTCGTCGTCATAAAAATGTACCTTTGGAGATGGTTTTCTGGGTGCTGAATTGGGTATATAGGTGAATGGAATCTTAGTCACCTCTGGGAATGCTCTTGGTGCTGATTTGGGTAAATCATTAACTGGGGATTTAGTAATCTCAGCGAATCCGATTGGATAGAAACCCCAACAGCAATAGTAACTATCTTCTTCAGCAATTTGAGGTGGCGAAGGAACCTTCACCACCTGGAAAGCTCTCCTGCAGCTCTTAGTTTGGCATTGGAGCACGCTCTCCTCGTAATGGTTGGGATATTCGTATAGCACGAAGCAGTATGGACAAGTCGTCCAGAAACTCGGAACCTTTGGGTCAGAATCAGATCTTGCAGTTCCATTCTCTGGACTCTGTTCAGTAGCTGGAGTTTGGTCAGGGACCCAACTTGGCTGCGACACTGGCGGAGGCGGAGATGGATTAGTAGAGACCACAGGCACCTGAGAGGAAGTAGTAGTAGAGACCGGAGGTGGCTGGAATGGTTGAGTTGAACTGAAGACAGGAGGCATTGAAGAGTGAGAACTAGAAGCTTCAGGTGGCTGAGATGGAGCGGTTGATTGAAATGCCTGTTGTGGTGGCTGAGACACCGGAAATGGGTTAGAAGTTGTCGGTGGCGGCTGAGATATCGGCAATGGCTTAGAAGTTGTGGGTGGCTGAGATACTGACAATGGCTTAGATGTCGGTGGTGGCTGAGACACCGGCAATGGCTTAGAGGTTATAGGTGGCTGAGACACAGGCAATGGCTTAGAGGCTATAGATGGCTGAGATACCGGAAATGGGTTAGAGGCCGGTGGTGGCTGAGACACCGGCAATGGCTTAGAGGTTATAGGTTGATGAGATACCGGGAATGGCTTAGAGGTTATAGGTGGCTGAGATACCGGCAATGGCTTAGAGGTTATAGGTGGCTGAGATACCGGCAATGGCTTAGAAGCCGGTGGTGTCTGAGATACCAGGAATGGTTTAGATGTCGATGATGGTTGAGACACCGGGAATGGCTTAGAGTTTTTAGGTGGCTGAAACACTGGCAATGGCTTAGAAGAGGCCGGTGGTGGCTGAGATACCGGGAATGGCTTAGCAGTCGGTGTTGGCTGAGACACCGAGAATGGCTTAGAGAGGGGCTGTGGTTTAGAGACTGCATGTGACTGAGTGGAGCGACTTTGCTGAGACAAAGAAGGTTGGTCAGAAACCGAAGGTAGCAGCGAGAGTTGAGCAGCTTCCATGGACCTAGATTGCTGAAACTGCCTAGCCGGCTCGGAAGATTGCCAAGGTACATGCTCAGAGGTTTGAGTAGGCTTAGACGGCCATGTCAGATCAGTTGAAGGAGTCCTGTGAGATGATGCCTCAAACGATGATCTACCACTAGACGACCGATCTGGCTCATGAAAACGACGACTAGGCTGTACTCTTTCCGTTGCATTGTTCAGATTTATCAATCTCTCTTCCTCCACAGGAAGTTTCCAATCTCTACCACTGGTACTAGAGCCACTCTGCTGCTCTTGACCAAACTGTTGACGCCAAGAAACTTGTTGTTGCTCCTGTGATTGCATCAATTGCTGATCAAATTGCGATTTTTGTTGCGGAGGCTGAGCAAAATGTGGATGTTGCTGAGTCTGTTGATGAAGCTGAAACGGTAATTGCTGGCTCTGTTGATGATGCTGAGGAGACTCTTGCTGATGCTGAGGAGACGGAGACTGTGGCGGCGGCTGATTGAAAAGCTGAAACCCTAATTGACCGAGTTGCCCAAACTGACTCAGATGCAGCTCCCTATCGTACAATGCCTTTCTAGAAGGATCGGAGAGGACGTACCAGGCGTCGGAGATGAGCCTGAAGGCTTGGTCAGAGTAGGGAAACCGATTCCGGCTCGGGTTGAGCAATACGGCGAGCCTGCTGTACTGAGTGGCGACGAGCTCGGGGTTGTGAGTGAGACGGACGAGGCGGAGAACGGCGTACCAGTCGGGGAGATCGGCGGTGCTTCCACGGATTCGAGATTCTCCGGCGATTAGAGTATCGGCGACGGCGAGGATTAGCTCGGCGTGGTCTACGAGGGAGTGATCGGCTTCGCATGCGCGGATGGCGTAGGTCTTTGAACCGTTTAGGTCTCCGGTTAAAAGTAGCTTCTCCGCCGTAGCTAACCACCGTTCTGCGTCTCCGCCGTTACCACCACCGCCCATCATTTTTACAGTGACTTTTTCTCCGGGGTGAAAAGTGAGGGAGAGAGAGAGAGTCCTGATAGAAATAAAAAATTTGAAGAAACTCAAGCAATTCAATGTGACCAGATCTGGACGAACAAACCCGGAAGAAAAAGAAGCACCTGTGAAATCTGGATCGGAACAAGTGTTTGTATGAAGACGACGATGAAGAAAGTCTCTCTGTTATGAACACAGAAAAGAGTCAATCTTTGAGGGTTATACTCTAGACAGTGTGTTACTTCCTTTAAGTTTTTTTTTCCTTAATACTTTTTTTTTTTGCTTACTTATACTTTTTTTTTCCTTAAGGAGGAAACATTTATGACTTGAGTATGTGATTTCTTTTTCGTATTTGACAGTGTGTTACTTCCTTTAACTTTTTTTTTTTTCCTTACTTAATACTTTTTTTTCCTTACTTAATAACATTAATTAGTTCAATGAAATCTGAATATAAGGTAAGAGTTGTTTGAATTCGTGTAATGGACAAAGAGATACAAACTAAAATATTTAAAACATAACTTATGATAGATTTGTTGTTAACCTCTTCCCATGGAATGCTAAAGATAACTTGTACGATGTAAAGAGCCTGGAATCTGTACCTTACACACCTATTTAGGACACTCAATATCAACGTGACAACCAATTTCGTGATCTTAGCCAATGCAGACGTCGGGCTAATCTAATCGGAGATATGTTCAACTTTTTCATCCTAATTACATTAACATGAGTATAACTTTTTTACTAAAATTAGACTATGTTCAATATATAAAGAAAAAGGAACATTATCCGGAATATATTATTATCAATGCAAGAGTTTAACGTAAAACTAACAAGTGGAGGTGAAACAATCTGTGATCATTTCACTCAATATAACCCACATTTTGCTTATTTCATTAACTAAATAGTTACGTCTTTAAAAGGATTTTAAATGTCTCTCTTAAGCAGCCAAACTCTTCGAGGCAATCTCAAAGACATTCTCAGACAACCCATTTGCTGACATTATCATCTCCAATTGTGCCTGCAAACCAGCACACAACATTTAATCTAAACATCTCCTCAGATTATAAATCCAATATAATGCTAATGGGTTTTGTTGTGTATCTTAAAAAAAAACAAGATTGGTTTTTGCAGGTTTCGGCATTTACCTTGGCCAGAGCTTGTCGGGTTTCATCGTAGCGCTTCCACCTCGAAAAGGCAGACACCATACGAGAGGCAACCTAGACTCGGACCAAAACAGAAAGTAAGTCGTTAAAGTTGTTTGTTGTCAAGGTAATTACAACAAAGGTTAATTAATTGCGAAGACACAAAGTTAATCTGGGAGTTTAACCTGAGGGTTCAATTTGTCTAACTGGACAACAATGTCACCCAAGAACTTGTAACCTGATCCATCTTTGGCATGGAAATTCACCGGAGAACCGCAGAACCCACCAATAAGCGAGTAAACCTGAATGATCGTTGTTTGGTTTCATCGTAAGCATATAACCGAAGACAAAGTTGCAGAATTTAGAGTTTTGAGAATTCACTTGCCTTGTTTGGATTGCGCAGATCGAAAGCTGGGTGATCCAAAAGCTTCTTGACATTCTCTACATTGCCAGGAATGTCGGACGTTGATTGTAGAAGGAACCATTTATTAACAACCTGAGAAAAGAAGCCCATTAATCTGAGTTTCTCATTTTAAAAGAAAATCTGGTAGCAGAGAGAAGTAAAAATTGTGATACTTAAGATCCATACCAAGTAATCTCCCTGCCACTTGTTATAGAAGTCAGCAAGAACGTCGTCACGGGTTTTACCCGGGTTCTGGGCAAGAGCTGCCAAAGCAGCAAATTGGTCGGTCAAATTGGTTGCCATCTTGTATTCACTCAACGCAAGTTCCATATATGCTGGATCCTCGAGAGATGCAAGATAAGCTGGAGTATTTCAACAAAATGAAGTTAGTGACTTGAGCAAAGAGAAACTCCTTCTATTAAAGAATGACTCGCAAATGCAAACCTAGAGCTGTGTTCTTCAAAGCACGCCTCGCCATGTTTGGGTGGTCAAAGACATAAGCTTCTGTGCTCCTATTGTCCTCGACCTCCACAAAAAAAACATGTGAAAAGTTTCAGTGAATAAACAGGAACGTCCTCACTTCAGTGGCTACGACTTCGGTCCCTAATCCTGAAAGATTCACTATGTACAGAGAAGCAGACATACTATCTTTAGAAGCTGTGCTTTAAGCTCAGATGCAAGCTGCTTTCTAACAAACTTTCTAACAGCATGAACAGCATCAGGATCCGCCAAGACCATCATGTCCATTATCTCTCCCTCACCAGGCAATGTTATTGCTTTGGCTATAAATTCCTACAGAACAGATTAAGAAACAGATTACAAAGTCTTATCCTACACCTCCTTGTATGATTACTGTTCGAGAAGGGAATGTAGAGCCATACCTTGTCCAAGCTTGAGTCAGAAAGCACGCTGCCGAGACCTTGCACGAATTTTGGGTTTAGAACCAACGGTTTATTTTGCTGGAAATCAGAAACTAAGTTCAGCATGAGCTTCCTTGCCAGAACTTGACCTGCCTCCCACCTAAAATACAGAAAAAAATGAATGTTCGAAATGCGCAAAGAGCATAAAGAAGAACTAATATGTTGTAGAAAGGCACATACCGGTTGAATTCATCAGAATCATGGGCTAGGAGGAAGAAAAGATCATCATCAGAGAGATCAGTCTCAACACGAACTGGGGCACTGAATCCCCTAAATAGGGAGGGAACAGGTCTTTCTGATATATCAGAGAACACAAACTCTTCTTCATTCTGTACATAAAGAAGACATAAGGTCAGGAAAAGATAGATGAGGAAGATCAGGAAAAAGGTAAAAACAATTGAAAACACTAGATGTGAAAAGAGGGGAGGGCGATGTAATAAAGTATTGGTAAAAGAAGGAATTCTCGACTGACCTTTGTCACTCGAAGTATTGTGCTGGTGCTTGAAATGGCCTGCACTGTACCATCATGATGAACAGAGGAAAGTGTAATGTCTTTCCCAGTAGAGTCCAGGAGACCAGCAACCACTGGAATAAATGTAGGTTCTTTTGTTGGCTGGCCCGGAGTTGGGGGTATCTCCTGACTGGGAAAGTGATCAATGACAAAGCAAGCCAATGTGTCAACAACAAATTTAATTGAGGTTAGATCTATAAAGGTTTAAATTTCAAACGCGGTGCATTAAGTTTGGTGTGAAAACAGTCAATTTTTGCACGAATTTGGCAAAATAGAATACACATGAGAAGAACAGAACCTGAATTTCAAAGAGAAAGTACGAGCTTCAGCATCGTAAGAGGAGGCCACTTTGACAACTGGCGTTCCAGCTTGAGAGTACCTGACAATGTTGTACATGGTATATCCTTAAAGTATGAAAACAATAATCTTCACAAGAAATTCAACAATAAAACTCGAATTACCATTGCAAGAAATTAGCAAAATCTGCATTGTTTGCATCACGCATAGCAGCATAAAAGTCTTCACAAGTCACAGCTTGCTCATCATGTCTCTTAAAATAGAGATCAATTCCCTGTAATATATTCCCATATAGATGTGAGCGGAAGTATCACGACATAAAACCTAGCTACTGAAACCTCACATAAAAAACAGTATTGGATGGAAACCTTTCGGAAACCCTGACTTCCTAGTAGAGTTTTGTACATCCTCACAACCTCAGCTCCCTAGAAAACATTATACAGTCAACTGATGTTTCTTGCTTACTGCATATGACAGCAACACTAATATTCAAGAGCCAAACCTTTTCATAAACCTGAAACGACAGCAGAAAGCAAATCATTCTGTTAAAATTAATATACAAGGGATTGATAGGATACGAAACTACATATGAAGAAGAATTATTCGTTCCCTACCGTCACTGAGAGAGCAGAATGATGGCCAGACACGTTATCCAGGTTTGGAACGATTACGAAAACCAAAGCATGTTAGATTGGAACACAATACTCAAGAGTAACAAAATGAGATGCTATAACAGAATTCCAGACTTCCAAGCGAACAGAAACTTGCCTGTGTAGAAGTTGTCCATCTGCCAGAGAAAAAAAAAAGAGCACATATTTATCAACACCTAACATAATACATACATCGTAATTCATAAATTTCAAGGCAAGACAAGTAATAAGAATCTCTGACCTTGATGTATGAATGTGGGCGAACAGGGTGTGCCATAGGACCAGCATCCTGATAAATTAAACGACAGAGGATTTAGCATGAAAAACTGGAAACAACCCCATGTAGAGGCCTAAAAGGAGTACAAGACAAGGTACCTGTGGGAATTGATAGATTCTAAGCTTGGAAACATCAGCAATTCGCTTTACAGTACGGCTTCCCATGTCAGATGAAAACTCCTGTACAGAATTGAAACTTTCATCATTAGATAGAGAAAAATTGCAATATCAATCTTTGAATAATGAAGAATAACTGTACCTGGTCACGGAAGACAGTAAGTCCTTCCTTTAGACTGAGTTGGAACCAGTCACGGCATGTCACCCTGTTGTTACAAATAGAGTTTTAGTCATATACCAGGCTGCATACTAAAATACAATACATATCTGATGCAAGTTAATGTACAAACAAGCATATTAGAAGATTCAACAAGCAAGAATTAATCCTTTGTAATAAAGGGAGGATAAATGAGGCTGACCTGTTGCCTGTCCAATTATGGAAGTACTGCACAGAAAATAAGGAAAGATGCCATTCAATTAAAGATAGGCATACACAAGATAAGAATTCAATAAACAGCATATGGTATGATTACATACTTCATGACCAATAACTCCCAAAATTGCAGCATAATCTGCATCTGTTGCAGTTTCTGGAGATGCCAGGACAAGCTTGGAATTAAAAATCTGCACGGTAGAGACGCTCATGGATTTCCATCAAGATAGAATATCAACAGAAGTGCGTTATTATTATGAAGCAAAGTAGAATTACATTTAAACTCTTGTTCTCCATGGCTCCCCTGAAATCGAGCAGAAATCAATTAGTTTGTAAGAAAAGGTAAAAGACATAGAAGCATGAGCTCTTTGTTTTGGATTGAAGATATCAGCAGATAGACCAATATTAACAAATGTAACTGAATCCACAATTTGTTCATACATGTTAAAATCTGGAACGGCAACAATGTTGAAGAGATCCAGATCATACTCAAGCCCGAACACCTGAAAAAAGGTTAACACAAACCAAAAAAAAAAAAAAGAGGAAGAACAAGAATCAGATTCAGTAACCTAGGTAAATAAATGCAATATAATTTGTGAAAGAACTTACATCCTCATCCCACTTCATGGCCGCCTTCAGAGAATACATGGCATGAGCAGTCTTTGGAAGATCTTCTGCAGGAGTCCAGATTTTCAGAGATACCTGCCTACCAGAGCGCGTGGTGAATGTATCATCTCTGCTCGCTAATTGTCCAGCCACTAGAGCAAATAGATAACACGGTTTTTTGAATGGATCTTCCCATAAGGCATAGTGCCGACCTCCCTACATTTCAATAAAGGAATATGCTTTCAGCAAAGACCAAGCTGAGATGACATTTAGCCCCCAAAAAAGGTCACTATTTTGCTAACCTCTGTATCTCCTTGAGAAATGAGATTTCCATTGGACAAAAGTACAGGATAAAGGGTCTTGTCGGCTTCCACACGGCATGTGTACTTTGCCATAATATCAGGGCGATCCTAGTCATTGCATATTAAAAACACAAAGTCAGAATATAGGATATACTATCTCAACAATAGTCATCTTTTATCCACCTAAAGCTGCAATAAACCTGGTAAAATGTTATTTTACGGAAACCCTCTGCTTCACACTGCGTGCAAAAGTTCCCAGATGACTTGTAGAGCCCCTAACAGATGGAACTTAGAAAGGTTAAAAGTGTTCTGTTAAATCATTGATATAAATAAAGGAAGAGAGTCAGAAAAGTTTACCTCAAGTGAAGTATTCTTGTGAGGGTATATCTCGGTATCAATTTCCAAAACAAAGTCCTCCTCGGACGGAAGTGAAGGGAGAGTGAGATGACGGGAGTCCAACTGGTAATCTCCTTCCTAATCAAAGTGAAACATATATAAAAAAGATAGCAAGTAAACAAAGGAAACTGAGTTATTTTTCCTCTACTGAGTTGCTTTCCTATGAGACACATTTTGATTTATGTAATATCTAGAATAACATAATAAACCTAGAGATCTAACGAATATCCACAGGTTTAACCATTAAATTGATACCTTTAGAAGCTTCCCCTCAACCTTGACCGAAAGTAGCTTCAAGTCATGTCCATCCAAGACCAACGGGGCAGAAGATCCTGAGTAACAGAATTCTTGTTCAGAATGCAATTTGGAAATAAATGTGCAAAATTCTATCATGGGGATATACATAAAGCGTATTCAAGAAAAAAAAACTAAATCTAATTCTTCAGCTAAAAGAAACCACTGTTGTTTTAATTTGAAGTGTCAGTAATGTACTTGACTGCTGTACCTTTAACTCGAGGGGAAACCTTAATTTTAGAGCTAACAATTGTTTTCTCTTCACCTAGAGAGAAGCTCAGATCCACCTAAACAAGCAAAAAAAAAGCTTCAGATCAGAACAATAGTGATACTACTCATACGCTCATTTTGGAGCTTGAAGAAGGCGATCATACAGTTTCAAAGTAGTAATCAGGCTTCGTGTAGTCCTTGAGAAATATTTCTTTAGGTGCATCCATTTTGGAATCTTCAACTTTATCTGGAACTGATTCTGTGGCAACAGAACAAATCAGCCTCCTGCTGTTTTGTTTATATCTCTGACATATAAACAGCAAAAGTATTTTAGTTTCGCTACATAAATCCAGCATTTGGGTTCTATTTATCACAAGGGAAGGATTAAGCGAGTTACATCAACAGAATGTGATAGAAACCGACTCTTCCTCAAACAAGTAGCCTGAGACAGAAAGAACGACATTAAAGATCATTCTCTGTTTAAATTTATGTGGCAATTGGTAGAAGAAAGAAAGAAACACAAACCTCGGAAGTAAGAAACGGTCTGAATTGAGTAAGTCTCTTTCCCGAATTACGTAATGGAAGACAACCGCTTCTAACGGGAAGCTGCAAAAGAGAGTTAAAGCAGATTACAAAGGTCAAACTTGGCAGAAATGAATACAAAACTAAGCAAAATATCAAGTTTAACATACAAAGTAAAGATTTCCATTATCAAAACAGTGATAGAAATCGGAAATGAGTTGGTAACGGCAAACAGAAATCATACGAAATCAAAAAATCAAAAACTAAGAGTTTAGAGTAATCACAGGAGCATGAGAGAGCAAACCCAGAAGGTTTAAACTAGCCAGAGACGAACTTCGACAAGGAATTATCAACCGAGCCATTAAACAAAAATCACCCAAAATCCTTAATTCAATCTAACCAGAACAATAGCTCTAATAATAAAAATTAATAAAACACCTCCTAACTGCGGCGAAATTCTCCAACGATAAACCCTAGAGAACTCTCTCTACTCACTACAGAGAATCAACACTCGTAAAGAGCGGTAAGTTAGGGCTATGGCCTTTATAAGGATGTGTTAAAAGGATAGAATTTAAATGAAAATTATGGCCAAGAAAATTCGATATTAATAAAACAAAAACAAAAAAAATGTGGAAGCAAATGATTAAACCAGGAGAAAAAAAAATTGATCTATGGGATTTCGACTAAGATCAAATCTGGGAAAATCAATCGGAGGAAGAAGAAGAGGTTATTACCGAGATCCGATGATCAGAGGAAAGAGGCAGAACTGAAACAATGAGGAGAAACCTGGTACTAATATATTGTATATATAACGAAGAAGATAATTATCCGGAAAAAGAAAAAAAAAATTAAAAAGAATAACAGAATGAGATCAGAATTCACTTCGATGCTGCTCAGTGCTCACATGTAACATGGCATTTTCAAATTTTCGTGAGAAATGTTTTTTTCTTTTTTTGTGTCAGCAAATTAAACTCAAACAATTGTCAGTAACGAAAAAAAAAAAGTCTTTTGAAAAGATTTAGTTTTACTATTTAAAAGTTTCTTTAGAAGCGAAACGTTGTTAAAACAACAAATCGATGCTAATTTTACAGTAATCGAATAATCAAAATCGCAATTTCCTCTGAGGACTACAAAAACTGAACAGCTTCTCCAACAAAATTAAAGGGAAAACAGAAACTAAATAAGACCTCTAAAATGGTTTCAAATAGAGGTCGGTGCATTTTAGCATCATTCACCAATAAACTGGCGTTTTTTAGCAGTGTTCATGTAAGGTCTAATAACCCATTCGATATCTGCTTCATCTTGATCCACAGTTCCTAACTTCAGCTGCAACACCAAGAAACAGCATTGTTATTAAGGAACATGATTGGTTCTGGCTTAAAAACAGGGATTATCTTTTAGCCGATATATACCAGTGTGTAAAAAATCAAAACATAATAAACCGAATGGCTCATACCTGGTAGAGCTGCAACTCAAAACGAGGACCGAGTTCTTTAAGTTCAATCGATTTCGGGCCTCCTGCTCCTTTATCATAGACATGATTCCTATATATATGCCAACGAGATTTTCAAAGAAGAGACGACAAAATTTTTAAAAAAACAAACACAATTTTCAATCTGCTTAATTCACAAGTATGTCAAAGTAATGTGTTCCTGTGAGCATCACCATTGTGAACATATATCAGATTACCAACATACGCTTCTAGAACTCCAACGAGATAAAAAAGAAACTGTGGAAATTGGTTAGAATGGAGAAATTTTTACCTGAATGAAATATAATCAGTGTTATTAGCAAAAGTAACGATATGTTTTGCATCCTTTTTTGGAACTGGGAAGAGGTGCTTTAAGATGTTCGAAACTCTTTTACCCAACTGCGAAAAGAATGGAACATGTTTTACATTAGAAACGAGTAATCAATTCTACAAAACTAGTTCGTTTCCAATGCCCAAAACTGCAGTAAAGAACGAAGTGAGTCTAACAAAACATACCTGGGTTGTAAAGTTGTTAAAAATTAGATGAGGAAATTGCTCAGACATTTTTCCCATTGCTTTCTTGTTTTGAATCTCATGTCTTGTTACCTAAACAAAAAATGTGGAGACTGGATTAAGTGAACACGAAACTGGAGCTGTAAAGATTTGAAAACAAAATCAGATCCTCCATAGAGTTACTTACCACATTGGATAATCCAAAGTATGCAGTTGGTCCAAACGGGAGATGAGAGACAATAAGACCAGTGGGCACACCACGGTGCTCACTAACGAATATAACATCAGTAAAATCATGCGAACGAGCGGTTTCAACAATCTCAGAAACGACCTGCAAAAAGAAAGAAGTGTGAAAAAATTTTGTATTATGATCCCAATGCTACATCAATGGGTATTGTGTTGTATAAAAGTCACTACAGATTCAGCTTAGTCATGGTTACTATTTAAACACACTCCCAATTTGCTTTGCAGTTCAGCTTTAGAGTTAAGACTAACTCAGCTACACTATTGAAACCTATGTTGCGCATAGTTTGACCATGATCTGGTGTAACTAAAGGCACATGCAATATTTACAGCCAGGAAACAAGATGGTCCAAAGGGTTCAAGTTAACGACATCAATGAGAAACCACAAGCAGTGACCAATTGGAAAACAAAAAATGGATTACAGAAGAAGAGTTTTAGATACTTCCAAGTAGATTAAAGTACAGAAGCCAGAAGAACACACATACCTGATTACCACGATTCATTCTCTGAGCATTAGGAAATAAAATTTTCAATTCCTGCAACAGATTCAACGCAAATAAACGTCATGAATAAACACAAAACACCAGCCAAAATACAAGATAAAACCAGGAAAAAAAAAAGCTAGACAATAATGTTAACATCTCTATTCAACTACAGAAACCAAAATTCACCTTGACGAATCGAGTGAGTGGAGCACTTGGATCACGAGACGTAGTCAACAAAATCTTCGGATCTTTTTCCGTCGCATTTGCATACTCATCATCAATATGACTCCGTGGAACTATTTCACAAACATGATTCAGTTATCAATATAACAAGACCATAAAACAAGTAGAATCTACACTTCTGCTGAAAATGCATACACTATATCAAATTAATTCAACGAAATCAGAAAACTTTCAGCTCCAAAAATCTTACCGGCTGTATTTTGATCTTCCAGATCAATTTCCTGTCGAAGCTTCGACTCTTCGTTTCGGAGCTCAGTAGGAATCGGCTTCCCTTCTGTTTAAACATAAACCCAAAATCACAAAAAGCATCGAATCAACGAATGGTAAGAGAAATCAATTATCGATTGTTCAACAGATTTGAAAACAACAAAAACTCTCTTGACCTTGAAGGGCTTCTCTGATCTTCCGCTTCTTCTCATAGACACGACGCTCTTCACCTTCCAAATTTTTCCGGTATAGATACTCCTTTCTTAACCTAACATTCCTGCGCAACATCGTGACTAACAGAGATAGCCTACGAACAAACGAACGAGCTTAGTTTGGTTGTGGTGTTTTAGGGTTTTACGAAAAGGTTTTTGTGAAAATTGTGATGGCAACCGAAAGATAGATGACGAAAGTGTTTGTGATATGACCCAGATTGTGTTTATTGGGCCTGCGTCGGGCTTCAGGTAAATGTGGAAGCTGGATTTTTCATAAGAGCATAGTACATCGCGGGGTCGTCGAAGGAAGCGGGCTCAAATTTATAAGATTTAGTGGATTTTTAAAACAAGATTTAAAGCTCAAAATCGACGGATTGGTTCCTCCAGACGACCCTGATGAACCCGCCTCTTGTCGACGTGGCGTGTTGTGAGTGGTCGACAGAATGGAGTAATTTTTGGGAAGGGAAAAAAATAGAGGGCCAAAAATTTCATTTTCTTCCCCGAATTTTTTTTCTTTTCCCGTTTCCTTTCTCCAGGCGATTATCGCGATTCTCTGACCCATCCATCGAAACCAGAAAATTATCCCGGTGAATCGCTCTTCCGAGGATCGCGCAACCGTTCATATTGTCAAGGTAAGCTTCCGGACTCATATTTCAGTTGATTTCGTTTCGAATAGTTTCGGTTTCAAGAAATTAGGGTTTGCGATTTTTTGGGGGAATTTTTTTTATTAATCGGTGTTTTCTGGAGGGGAATAGGGTGGATTACGATTCCTGGGACCTATTTGATACCTGAGAATATATTATGCGGCTTGTATTTGGAAGATTCGAAACAAAATTGAAATCGATGAAATTTTAGGGTTTATGTAATTTGGGGGAAATTTAGGGCTTTCATATTTTGTTGCAATTGGGGTCTAATTGGATGTAATACATTGATTCTGAACCGTTGTAGCCCTATTTGGCATACGATTTCACGGTATATGATTGACTTGGTGAAATTTTTTACGATGAAATTAGGGTTTATGAATTCTTTTGATTTGTGTGTTCAATACCTTTCGAAGATGATTATGATTGCTCGGTTCATATGCTTGGCTGTTTAATATGTTAGTAGATGTTTGAAGATGGTTGTCATTCTTGATGAGTACTTTGGTTTTCATGATCGGTAATTTAGGTGTAGACTGAAATTTTTTGTTTGCCATTGTCGAGCCTGAACTGAAATGTTTTGCCATTGCCGATGATGAACTGAAATTTTTAGCCATTGTCGAATATGATCTGATCATCTTCTGTTTGTCATTCTCGATGATGAACTGAAATTTTTTTGATGTTTACATGATCTGTAGTGTAGACTACTTGGTAATATCTTGAAGTTCACATGTGTATGTTTATGTTTTCATGCTTGAAGTTCACATGTGTATGTTTATGTTGTAGCTCACTGATCGTAAATTTTATTGTTGACAGATAATGCCAAGCTACAGCAGCGGTTCTTCAGAGGAGGAGGTCCCCTACTGGGCGTACGCGGATGCGACATACGGCATACCCGTGAAGTGTTTCTGTGGCCGCGTAGTCAAGCTCAAAGCAAACGAATCCGGTCGCAAGTATTATGCTTGCCCGGATTCGATCAACGAGGTGATCTTTCTGTCTTCCTCATTTCTTCATTTGTTCTAGTTTAAAGTGAAACGAGTTCATGCATCATTATTAGGTGTTAACAGTTTCTCAGTCATGCAGGGCACTTTTGATCACATACACCAATGGTGGGACGACGCAGTTATAGAACAGTGCGAGATTCTCGCGACCAGGATAGAAAACCAGAAGGACCTGATCCTCAGTGTTGATCGGGGTAGAATCAACACTGAAGAGCTAGAAGGCCGTGATCCTCAGGCCATAGGAGAACTCCGTGAAGAGCTAGCAAGGCTTCAGGGAGAAGTGCGGAGTTTGAAGGAGGAGCTTGGCACTTCAGGTGACCGTTTCTCGATGCTCATTTACATTACTGTTATTGCGGCTATTGCGTATATCTTTAGGGTTTAGGGATGGCTCACGTATTGCAGGTTTTAGGGTTTAGTTTATTTGCATCCGGTTGTAGTAATAAACTTGTTTTAATGGGGTCTTTTAATCTTTTTTTTGTGAGGATAACGTTTAATGGACTTGCGCATGAGATATGGTTTACTTCAATGCATGCGGCTCACCCAGTAAAGGTTAGTTCTCTTGTAACTAGCCTCGTTGTGTTTAATGTGGTTGGTAAAATGGTACATTGGTGTTCTTAGCTTTAAGAGTGGTTATGAATGCTCGATATGACATGTTAGGTTTAGGGTTGTGTGATAAATGATAGTTACACCTGTTTAAACTTGTTTACAATGTTTCCGATAACTGGAAAACCCTGATTATGTCATTAAACTAACACAGACTCACCCTTAAAAGACTCTCACATACTATGTCATTAAACTAACACAGACTCACCCTTAAATCCATAGACAAGACGTTCAACCACTTAATTTTTAATATAAAAGACTATCTAAACTCATTAACAGTCTTTCCACTTTGTTGCACTCGTTAACTCTCTGGTTAACTCTTTCCTCTCGCTTTAACTCATCCTTTCTTTCCTCTCTCTTTAACTCGCTCTTTCCTCTCTCTCTAAACTCGTTAACATTCTTTCTTCCTTTCACTCCCTCTCGTAGCTTTGAATCCTTTTATGGATTCGCAAAACTCTTTTACCCACTCGGAAGGGTTTGTCAACCTTTTAACGAGTCAGTTGAACCCTGACTCGTACTCGCCTTGCATAGATCTTGTTGGATCATCAGACATTCCTCTTTTTAGTACACAAGGATCTAATGATCCTCCTGATACTGCCCTGAAGAGAAAAATCTGGTCGCCCAAGGAAGACTTGGTTCTCATAAGCGCGTGGCTCAACACTTCGAAGGACCCGATAGTCGGTAATGAGCAGCGTTTAGGATCGTTCTGGAAGCGGATACAGTTGTACTACAACGCAAGCCAAGATATTGAAGGACTGCCAAGGAGAGAGTGGTCTCAGTGTAAGCAATGCTGGGGGCATATAAATGACCAGGTGTGCAAGTTTGTGGGATCATACTTGGATGCGATGAAGGAGAAGTCAAGCGGCCAGAATGAGAACGATGTGATGAAGCTTGCGCATGAGATATTCTTTAATGATTACTCCATAAATTTTTCCCTCGAACATGCTTGGCGAGAGTTGAGGCACGACCAAAAATGGTGCACGAGTAGCCAAGATGTGACTTCGACGAAAAGAAGAAAGGTTGAAGACTCCGGTCAATCCTCAACCTTCATACCTGCAGGTGATAATGAAGATCTAACAGAGGTTCGTCCACCAGGAGTCAAGGCATCGAAGGCACAAGCAAAGGCATCACGTGTTATGCCCGAGAACAAGACATGAAGGAGTTCTCTTCCATGTGGGGAATGAAACAAAAAGATCTAAAGATGAAAGATAAGATTAGGGATAAGAGAATTCTTGAAAGACTTTTGGCAAAGTCTGAACCACTAACTGATGTTGAAATAAACCTGAAAAACAAGTTAATTAGTGCTATGTATGGCCTTTAGCCATGAACTGTTAAATTTTTATGTATAGTTTCTTTTGTTTAGGATTTTTAAGCTGTATTGCACTTCGGTTTGTATGTTATTTTAATTATGAACTCTCTTATGCTATGGTTATTTTGTCTATATTTCAAATAGACTTTGGTTTATTTCTATGTTGCCTCGTTGTTCCATTTACTCTCTGTGAATTACATCCACATATTGCTTACGTTTCTTTACGTTTCTTTACGTTTCTTTACTGACCTATTTACATATCTTTGTAGGTTGTGTCACGTCCACTTGGCCAGTACAAGTTCGCTGACACGTCTGTGACCAATATTGGAGGGGCCAAATGCTTTTGTTGTATTCTCAACTCACCGCTTATTTTCTTATGTAATCTAAACCATATGTTCACAAATATCTTTGTAGCCACATATTGTAACATTCACCCGTTTATTTATATGAGACTTACCAATTGTATGTTATTTCATAATTGAAATCTTCTTTCTGTCTCATATTGCTCTCAACTCTTTGTCAAAATCTTTCTCTTCTCAACACAAGAAAAGTTTATAACCTCTACTTGGTCGATTTCTTATCTTGGCTCATACACAAAAACACCAAAAACACAAAAAATATGGCTGCATCTTCTAGCAATGGGTGGGATGATTCAAATGATGATGCAATTGATGATGCAATTGATGATGCCTTTGATGATATGTTCGATGAGAGGTTTGATGCTAAATTCGATTGCATTTTTAATCAGCTTGCGGAAAAAAAGAAAAATAAAAAGAGAGCATATATTGAAAGACAGAGGGAAGAAAGTCACAATCGGTTATGGAACGACTACTTCAGTGATGATGCAACCTATCCACCACATATTTTCCGACGCCGTTTTAGAATGACCAAAGATTTGTTCATGCATATTGTTCAACGCCTCTCCACAGAAGTTCCGTATTTTCAACAAAGACGAAATGCCATCGGAAGATTAGGTCTATCTCCTCTACAAAAATGTTCAGCAGCAATTCGTATGATGGCAAATGGTACCGCAGCCGATGCAGTTGATGAATATCTCCGGCTCGGTGCTAGTACGGCATTGTTATGCTTGAAAAATTTCACCGAGGGTATAATATCCTTGTTCGGGGATGAGTATCTGAGAAGACCCACGGCTGCTGACCTACGGTGCTTATTGGAGATCGGAGAGTCCCGGAGCTTTCCCGGGATGATAAGAAGCATCGATTGTATGCATTGGGAATGGAAGAATTGTCCTACCGCATGGAAAGGACATATACACGCGGATCAGGAAAACCGACAATTGTTTTATAAGCAGTAGCATCAAAAGATCTTTGGATATGGCACGCATTTTTTGGACCTCCAGGTACGTTAAATGATATTAACGTTCTTGATCGTTCACCAGTTTTTGATGACATCTTGCATGGTCGAGCTCCAAAAGTGAGATATTGGGTAAACGGTAACGAGTACCGTTTGCCATACTATCTTACTGACGGTATTTAGCCCAAGTGGGCAACATTTATACAATCAATTCATCTTCCTCAAGGACCCAAACATAAGTTATTCGCATCAGCTCAAGAATCCGTCTGAAAAGATGTTGAGCGTGCTTTTGGCGTTCTTCAAGCTAGATTTGCAATAATTAAAAATCCAGCTCTTTTTTGGGATAAGGAAAAGATTGGCAAGATTATGCGGGCTTCTATCATATTACACAATATGATAGTAGAAAACGAACGAGATCGCTACAATCTATCGAATTTAGAAGAATTCCAACATGCAGAAGGAAGCGGAAATTCACATGTCGATATGACGTATTCTACTAGTAGGCCTACAAATATCTCAAATTTGATGATGGCGAAACGAAAGGAAGTCCGTGACAACGAGATACATGAACGATTGAAAGCGGATTTAATCGAAAATCTTTGGAATAAATTTGGTACTTCTTAAATGATTTATGTATTTCTATATTTCAAATGTTCTATGTTTTTCATTTTCTTGTAATAAAATTTTTAACCTTTTAGCTGTGTTTAAAATTTTATGTACTAAATTATATTTCCTTTTTTTAGTTAATGGTGTGTTTAAATTTATTTGTTTTAATAAGTTTAATTTAAAAAAAAATATTTCCCAGATGAACCCCTTCTCGGGTTCGCAACTGGAACCCCCACAAACACCCGAGTTCTTCCCGCAATTTATAAAAAAAAAATAATAATTTTAATTTCTGATGAACCCCATTAAGAGGTTTAGCAATGGACATGCTCTTAGATCCGGTCTATTAAACCAGAAATTTTAAATATTTAAATAATCAGTGGCCAATTAAATATCGGCCCAAAATGTAGGATTTAGTCCATCAAACCATTCCTGGACTAACTAAATGTCACTTTGAATGTGCAAACCAAGCGAGCTTCGAGCTCCAAGATATCCGGTCAAAGTCAAAGATATTCCATTAATAGGTCAGAACCGTTACTGAGATCACGGAAACAGTGAAAAACGAAGTGGTTTGAGATATGCGGCGACAGTTCGAATTTTGAAGAGAAGTATAAAGGAAGGTCGAGACACACGAAGAAAACACATCTTTCCTCTGGAAAAACCCTTGAATTACAGTTATCTTTTGTACTCTTTCTCTTCGAAAAATCTTGTATTCACCTTCGATTAAATCAATATAAATTCAATTTCTTCAATACATTTCTATACTTGATCGATTCAAAGACAAATCTGGCCCATCGTTATAAATCTTTTTCCTAAAACTATATACAAATTTCTGAGTGTGGAATTTAGCAACCACAATCACAATAAAATAACCCGATCCATGGGCTTATCAGTTTGTCTATAAAAACATAAAAGGAATAGCAAATTATTTTTAGGTTGTTTAGTATCTGGGCCGAAATGAGCCCAGAGTAAAAACAAATTTACGCAAAATGTAAAATATGCCCTTATACAGATCGAACTTGGACCTTCAGTTTACAAGACTGGCGCTCTAACACTGATTTTTTAACCTTAACTTAGCGTATTTCTCATAATACTCTAAAACGCCGTGAGTGAGAAAAACAGAGAGAGAGAGAGGCTATCAACGAACTTAGTTTGGTTGTGGCGTTTTAGGGTTTTAGGCAGGACTGTGCCTATGGGTATAGAAAATAAAAATTGGCCTACGGCCCATTGTTTATAAATTTTGAACGGTTTTTTTGATTAATTGATAACTATTAATTTTTACAGTATCAACTAATTAGTAAATAAATTAAATAAAAATTAGAACAACATTGTATTATATAGACTGCTTAATCAATTAGATAAGTTATGCTTTAAATTTATTCAATTCCCTTTTTTTCAACTATCTTCTTCTTCATCGCTGAAGTTTTGAAAACATTTTGCCATAACAACTACATTATCAATTGACATTTGCTCATTTTGTTAAATGTTTATATTAGTTATAAATTTATTTCATCTAATATTGGATTTCGTTTTCTTTGTAATTTAGAGTGAATTATAAATAAATCTCAATTAATTTGCTAATTTATCAAGTTTAAAGAAGTATTATTTGAAATTTTAGATATGTATTGTAGTTTTGTAATTCAGAAACGATCAAATAAGTTTTGGTCGAAATTAATAAAGTTTTATCTTCATTCAAATATGTAACAAGAGAGATTTATTATCTTCATTCAAGTATGTAACAAGAGAGATTGAATAAATGACTATCTTTTTTTTTAACACAAAAAGTAATTCTTGCACAAAAAGTAGTTTTTGCACAACAAGTAACAACTGATTAAGGTAACTCAAGTATTGACGAGATGTACAAAACCAAAAGGAACTAGTGGAGATTTATACAAAAGATGAAACCACTAACAAGGATTTGGAAAAGGAGAAAAAGACGGTTTTGGCATTGAACAAAGAAATGAAAGCAATGGAAAAGTAGATTTTGATGGAGAACTGTTAAGATCTGATAGTCAACTATTTAATGATGAAATCATACCAAGACTCTGTAATGAACCAACGCAAGGCCGGGATAGAAGTCGCTTCTTCAGTATGTTCTTTTTTCGAAATGGGCACCATTTGCAAGAGTTTTGGTGGCTATTGTGTAGTTAAAAATGAGGTTACCATCCACCAATCTGGTCGGTGTAGTGAACCAGCTTTCCATCGCCCACCCTAATCCACTCTCGGTCGTCATCTTCATAAGAAGGGTGCTCGTACAGAAACAATGTCGTGGTGTTTAATGGCAGTTTAGTTTCAATGTCATTGACAAACAAAATATGGTGGTTAGCTATAACAGTGTCAATCGAGATTTGATCGAGCCAAGCATCATGAGATGCCTCAAAAATTTCATAAAGGCCTAAAGGAAAGGGGGAAAAAGAGTCTAAAACAGGCAAACAAAGGTAAAACCCTAACAAAATACTAGCATATCACTAATTTCAATGATTTGACTATCTAGTTGATCAAAATAAATTTGGTTAAAGTTTTGGTTTGAAAGTTTGCCTAATGAATTTGTAAAGAAAGAATGGGAGAAAATTTATGTTTTTTTTTAATGAAATTTCTGTTGTTTACGATCACTTTTTATACTTTGGATTATGTAAGTTATTACTGGCTATTATATAGCTTACGGACTTTGTATCGCTAGGCACTACTCTATTTTAGAAAAATGTTTCAAGAGAGGAAGGAAGAGGATGTCAACTAAAATATAGATGACAAAAGTGTGAAATTTACAAAACGACAAAATGTTTGTTTATGAAATATGAAACAGATAGCAAATTATTTTTAGGCCACTTAGTATATGAGCCGAAATGAGTCCAGAATAAAAACCAAACTACGCAAAATATAAATCAAGCCATCACGCAAGATCAAACTTGGACCTTCCGTTTACAAGACTGTCGCTCTGTCACTGAGTTTCCGACTCTAGCTTAGCCTATTTCTCACAATACTTTAAAACCACTCTAAGAAAATCTGAAAATGGAGGGTTTTCATTATCAAAACGAGTAGAAACAAGAATTTTAAGTAAATCAAAATTATATATAATAAGCAATAAAATGTAGCAACAACATTATTATCTAATTATACTCTTAACCTTTAACGCACTGTTCATATATAAGCACGACGATCATGCATCATCAATATAGTTGCTTCTCCATTCAATGGATCTGACAAATTCGGATACAGAAGAAGTTGAGGAAGAAGTGTCTCGAACACGTTCACCAAGGCTGAATAACTAAATCCAAATACACAATAAACATAACAGAAAGAAAGTACTCCACTACAAGAAAGATCGAGTTTTACATCGGCAGATATCGACGTAAAATCGACGTAAAAGAGCATTTACGTCGAATTAACGACGAATAAAAAATCGTCGTAAAACAATCGTCGTAAAACCGAAATCGTCGTAAAATCGTCGTAAAATTACCAACCCAGGAAAATCGTCGTAATAGCGTCAGAAACTATTCGTCGTAAACTCGACGTAAATTTTCCAACGAAAGTACAACGAAATAAGTCCATCATAAGAACGACATAAAATCGATGTAAAATTACATCGATTTAACAACGATAAGGAGACGAACAATTTCAATTAAGAGAAATTAATTTTTTAATCATCGATGTTAATTCGTCGTAAAGTTTTGACGTAGATTCGACGTAAACATATTCGTCGTAAAATGTTCGACGTTAGATCGACGTAAATTTACTACAAATTTACGTCGATTTATAAATTAATTATTTAATTCGATTTTAATTTAATTAATGAATTTTTAAAATAATAAAAAATTTAAAATAGAAAAAAATATTTTAAATTAAAATTTAAATTCGAAAATAATTTATATATAAAAAAAAATTTAATACAAATTGTTTTTTACAAAAAAACCTAATCTACAATATGATTTCGTAATCGTCGAGGTTGAGATCGACGTCACGAGGAGGCTCTCCGTCTTGGCCGCCCGTCGCTGCTGGACCGTCGTTTCCCGTCTGCACTACCGGAGCCAAAGACTGACCCTGCGTCTGCTGGTCCGATGGTCTACCGGAAGTACCACCGGCCTCAAAGACGCCTCGTGCTCGCTGTTGCCTCGCTCGGATTGCGGTGGCCAACTGCGGAACCGCTTCCGCAATGATGTCGAAGAGATCGTGAATCTCGGTGAGCTCCTGCTTCTGGGCCATTTGCTCATGCCTGAGAGTGGTGATCTCAGCATTGGCCGTAGCAAGCTCCTGGCGAAGATGACTTGGATCCTCCTGCGTGCGAAATCCGGAAGCCGAGGCGGCAGGACAGTCTCTAGTAGAGTCCATCCCTAAGGTTCGGCCTTTCTTCTTCGGAGCAACCTACAAATGGAAATAAAAACGTTAATTATTTATTAAGTAATAAATATAATAAATTTTTAAAAATTGAAATAGATCATACCTCCTCGAAAATCTGGTCTTGCTCAACGACGGTCAATGGTACTTGGATAGTACCGTCAGGTGTGGTCTGGGTCTCCCGCTCGGCGATCCGCTGAATAGCGGCATTGTAGATCTCCTCTGACCGAGCATCGACAAAGCTCCCG